TCCTGGTTTTCTCCTATTTTGCAGGAAGTATTCTTAATGGGCCAGTATCAATTCTTCTTCTTTTCCTTTGTTCACTTCATGTTTGTTTCTATACATCCTTTCTAGAAGCTTATATAATTTCCAATATTAAGTTTACATTCATGTTTCTGAATTTGCCCAATTGAAAATTTCATCCTTGGTTTCTCACACATATCAAGGCACTTTCAATTTATAACATCATTTTAACACATAGTGGGCTGAAGCCAAGATTTGTGTTTTCTCTGACACAAATCATGGCAGTTGCCAAAACATCCCCGTTGCTCTTCTCCCAGAAAGAAAGTGGAAGAAGAGGTTTCGGTATCTGTCTTATGTTCCTTCCTGTTGGCACAGTGTGTAGTCATCTGTCAAAGGCTCCCACATCATCTCTGGCCTCTTCCTCCATCTCTGCCCATGACTGCAGACACCCTGTTCACCATCTTGACATCTGCCTCCCGGGCTCTCTGCACTGGAAGCCACTCGTTCTTACACACTGTCACATCACTGCTTTTCCTGTGACCATCCTGCGGCTCAGTGGCTCTAATACTTGGGATGAAAAGCTGGCCTTCTGGTTTTGCTCAGAAGGATCATTAACCATGTTTAAATAAATAAGCCTCTCTGCTACTCATTGTACAATTTCCAACGTGTGTCTCACTTTTGATGTGGGGATCTTGTTTAAAACCATCGTTTGTTTTTACTGCCACCAGTACCATCGTGTGTTATGATTCTTCAGCAGTTTGGTTTCAATCTGCACAACAGCCTGTCCTTCAAAGCCCTCAGACTTAATATTAAGCAACATTGTCTTTCCTGTAAGCCAGCTACACCCAAACACAAATGTGGAAAAACAAATCACCCAGTTGTGTGTGCTTGTGCCTGTGTGTAACAGAGACAGACATATTTATGCAGAAAATACCTCATATTTCCATTGCCCTTTTTGTCTTGCATTGCCCATGGATGTACTGATTTGCACCTTTAATTAATTGCTAAGGGGAAGGTGAAAAATTGAGGTATATTATGTACATGCCCCAGTTCCCCACAGTGAGCGTAATCATTATGTGCTGCAAACATGGACTACCAAAAGTGAAGAAAAAATAAATCAGCTGTGTTATCAATGATGGAAAAAATTAGTTGCTGCCTTTCAAAATTCACTCCTCAGACTAAATTAGGCTGCCTCTCTTTGGGCTTCCCTGGTGACATTTAAGGGGGACAGTGGATGAGTGACTGTATCACTCTGAATGCCAGTTTTGCCATCATTAAACTGGGTGGTGTTTGAGAACTGGAAGGTGCACTGTGGTTGACAGACACCAAGGAGATAGCGTCTCTTCTCCTTTGAGGGTGTCACTAGTGCTGTGCTAATCGGCTCAGAGCCTAGGAGGACTTGGTGGACCTAGCCGTCTTCTTCAAGGCGTGTCCAGTGAGTGAGCGTGCAGGTTTCCCTTGACTGTGGCTCAAGTGCTGACATGCGTGGGAGCACAGTTTCACGTGGTGAGACCCACTGTCGTGAGCACACAGCCACCAGCAGCTATGTACCCAATCACACACTCTTCTCGTACTCTAACTATCTCTTTGGTTCCCTTCGGGTTCACTGTATCTGGACAAATAAAACGATACTCTCCATAGTATGGGCCTTCACCCATACCAGTTCTCCAGTTATCCATGCAATACCCACTTGTACCAGCTACTTACTGTTGTATTGTGCTGACATGAACCGAAATGTTCCCTGGGCCCACATCTCCTCTGTAAGGTAAGCCAGGAGTGCGTACCACAACTACTCACCTTTATATCATTGCCACCCCTTCCTGATGTCCTACTGCATAGCAGAGCTTCAGGTACTTAACTGTGTGGAAAATGTCTTGTGGTTACATGGAACTGTGTGCTTTAAAGCACCCAATACTCTTCATTTTATTTGGGTTTTGCTTCTAGTGGCTTGTAAACAGTGATTCCAAAGGATGCTCTTACTCCTTGGACTAAAATAAAATGCATTTTGAATCTAAAATTTAAAGAGTCTTTTCCCAATTACCTAAATACTACTAATGGATTGCGGTTTTACTGTATTTGAATCCCTTTTTTGTCCCATCATTTTTTCTTCTTAAAATGTTTGACATCCAGTATAAGGTTATATCTAGTTTAGCACAGAATTGGGTTTTACTATTTTCATTTACATATTATCCCATGAAAATTAATTTGATTTTTAAAAGTTCATCTCTTTCTGCAGATCCCACTGTTTTAACAAATAAAAAGCACTGTTTGTTCCATGATGGGGCAGAGGCTTGACTTCAGGCCTGAGAGTTGCATGCAGGACAGTGCATGTTCCATATGTGCCTTGTTTGAGGACCATTTCCTGTCAATTCTCTAATGTGTTGTCACTGGGTTTTATGAGTTAGACTGTCACAGAACGGTCCAAGCCCAGCACCACAAAGCTAAAGAGGGTCGAGCTTAGTCTGTGTGATTTTATTAATCTGTCCACCATGTGGGTGCTCATGTCTGTTTTCTGTGGTTCAATTATAAAATCCTTCTATGTAAAGATTCTTTTCCACTCCGCCACCTCCACCACAGCAGGAGCCATACAAGCCCACGAGCTCATCTGCCTCGTGGGTCTCGTAGCTTCCTGGGGAAGTGTGGCTGCTCCTCCCTTGCACACCTGCACTTCTTGCTGCCTGCCTGTGGGGGTACACTGGCTCACACCTTTCCTTGTTCTTAAGTTATGACTTATATCTTCCTGAGAGCCATCCTTGAAAGGGGGATTACAGTTTAAAAAATAATTTGAGGAAGGGTTGTTTAAAACTTTCTGAGGTGGCAGCTCATATGTAAAGATGCTCCTTAATAATTACAATGTGGAATGCTTTGCACTTGCTGTTCACACATTAAGGCAGTCAAAGAAAAATGAAGGGGACTCAATGGGAGACTTTCAAATGCAGAATTAAAAAAAAGTAAAGAAAGAGAAACTTTTTCTTGATGAGCTGAGAGTATGTTTAAGAGAGTATTAACCATCTTAAAAGTTTGGTTGGTTTTTTGTATTTATTAATTATATTTATTTTTTCTGATACATAAAATTGTGAAAATTGTACAGCTGAAGGGAGTACCAAGTAATTCTTTAATATCCCAAATAATTGATTTATTGGCATTTTGATTGCATGCACAAATCTGAATACATGTTACTTAAAAATGTCTTAAATACATCATGTTCTCATTGAAACAGGAAATAAGACAGTATGACAAGTCTTAGGCACTAATGTTGAAGGAAAACTATCGTCGTAGTTTAGGGATATATTTATTACACCTAAAATCCTCATGTTGCACACATTTTCAAATGGATAGAGACAGACAGACAGACAGACAAACAAATGACTCAGCTGAAGACACATAATTAAGGTCCCTTATGTTTACATTTCTGTGCCTCTAAATCAACTTGTGTTTGAGAATGGAAGGGCCTTGTCGATCTACAAGGACCCTCCTTGGTTTGTCTCGCCCAGTTTGAGATTGTCGACTAGTACTGTCCTGACCTGGGAAATGCTTGGAAATAACCCAGAATTTCATGGAGCTCAGTGCACTTCCTTCAGGCTACATGTTGTGTTAAACTGACTTTGTTCATTTCATGTTACTGGTAATTCAGGAGCTTAATCAGAAAGGGAAAAATTGTTGATGCAAGATTGGATTTTGTTGTACTTGTTTTGATTCTTCCTGTTTTTTAAATAAAATTTCATTCAAGAAACAACTGCCAAATACTTAAATATTGGTAAGTTGTTTGCTTCAGAAATTTTGAAAATGGAAATGAAAGGGTGAAGAATAACAGTAATGTCTAATTAATGAAGAAAATGAAACAAGGAATGTGAACTTGGACTTTGTAATACCTTTTGACATAGTTTCTGAATTTCAAGTAGGATGTTAATTCTTTATTAAAGAAGAAGACATTTTTAAGAAAAGCAATGTTTTTCTAGAAAAAGTTGAAGAATTTTAACAATTCTATACTTGTCTAGAATAAAATTATTGAGGAATATATAAAAGCAGTTTTGTAAATAACTCAAACATGGATGAAAAATGTTTCTTTAAGTCATAATAGCTTAAGAGAGTTAGGGAATTATTTTCAGAATATTGATAAATGAGAAATTGCATTTCGACTGTTTTCAATACTTTTCCCAAAAGCACAAGAATAAAAAGCTAATTTTTATATGAGAGTGATTTTAAACCACAAGCAGATTTTTTTGAGATTTGTTTCTCTGTAGTGGCCAATTTTGTATGAACCATTATTTTAAGCCTAATTGCAGTCAGAGTAGTTAGGGCACCAGCTCTGCTGAGGTTGAATTTCATTTGAACTTTCTAATAGTATGATCTTTTTCTCAGAATTTAATAACTGACTCAAATATTTAATAAAAGAAGCTTTTATTAAATTAAAAAGAAACCAGGATATATTTTTAGAAGAACTAACTTATTTTCTTTATCAGTTTTATATACTTCATGAGAAAGGGAAGAGAATGAAGCTAATCTCTTTGTGTACTTAAATAGACATTAATGCTATAACCTTGGCAAATAATTTATTTCAGTCTGTATCCTCATTTGGGAAGAACCAAATGGCAGTAATAACTACACTTCTAGTTCTACTGAGCAGCAAATTACACTGGCTCTGTGAACCTCTTTATTCATCTTCTGACTAATTACTCTTTTTTAAATATTTACGTATATTTTCTAGATCACTTTGTAGATTGCCTGCTGTTCACTTTTCATAGCCTAACAATTTCTGTTAAATGTAATGGCTTGTTTTAAAATATAAGTGGGGGAGAAGTGCAGTTTGAATGAATTTTGTTTGTATGTGCCATTCTACATATAGATGATGAAAGACCATTAAATGGATTTATTCACAAGCATTCTTGGAAATAGAATGTCCTTCCATAAAGTGTGGTGTAAACCTTTCTAATTAAAGTACGCTGTGCCATGGCCTCTCTTTCCCCGGGCTTCTGTGGCCTCTCACCTCTCACTTTGTCTTGCAGGCACTCCACTGCTGGTGAGGAGAAGCAGTGACCCGGCGCCTGGGCCACCTGCTGATGCTCAGCCGAGAGCTGCACACCCAGGTGGCCAGAGTGTGAGACCTGTTGTTTCAGTAGGTATCCTGCCCTGCCGGTGGCACTGTAGTGAAAGACTTTACCCATGGACTGAGACTTTGGGTAAATTAATAATCAAACAGAGACCTATGTTTTGATAAGATGTGTAGTAGCAGTTACAGTTGGTGTCTAGTAAATGAATGACCAGTTGGAGATATATATCTGGATAAGATTACATAGTAGTAGTTTTAATAAAAGACCACATGCTCTATTGCTGGCATATAGTTAAAGAAATAACCATTACTTATGTAGCACTGTGTATGTGCCAAACCTTGTTTTAAGCGCATTCCATTGCCATCTGAACTTCTACATCAAGGTAGGCAGAATTTTTGTATCCATTTTATTGATAATAAATTGAGGCAGAGGAAAGATTTTAGTAATTTGTCTAAGGCCCCATGGCTAATAGGTGGCAAAGACAAGAGCTGAATCCAAGTGGACGGGTCCAAAGACCACTTTGAGCCAGCAGGAACCAGCACCCTGAGCTTGCACATCCTCGCCTCCTGCTTGCTAACATGCAGAGACAGAGTTAGTGTATTGTTTGGTGTGTTAACCCAGTACTTCGCAGAGTCCTAATACTATGAGTGGAGATGGAGTTTCAGGCTCCCTGTGTGGTGAGTATATGGTACCAGCATCGAGTTTTTAAAATTCAACCTTCAGAATGAAGAAACAAGGTTATGAGCCAGGTGTACGTACAGCAGCTTTACTTGTGAGTGTCAGAATACAGACTATATTTCTGCCAGATTCTCAGTTGCCTTAAAGAGTTGTCACAATGCTTCCTCCATCCAAATAGTGGTGACTTAGGTTTTGGCTATATGATTCAAAGAGGTGGTCTTTAATTACATAACCGTATTGTAAGTCTAAAATGCAAGTCTCTTTCCAGTTTTAAGTCTCATTATCTATAGCACTGAAGCAAAAGAGCAGCATTTTATAGGTATATCAGGATGCTGCATGCTTAACCAAATTCTAGTTTTGTATATAATTTTCTTAATAAGAACTCCTGTCAGTGTATATAAGACAGTGCTTGCTACACCACATCACTGGGTATGCACCAGTTGCTTGTGGTGATATCTGGCATGCTTCTTTCCTTATAGTTGCCAACTTTCTTTAAAATATTTTAACATGTAACATTATGTTACTGTCCTTTTAAAATGCTATGCTTTTAAGGGCATTTATTTCCTGGAGCTCTAATAAAAATCTAATGCTTAACATTTGTGATGAATACAAAGAAAGCCAATGCTGTATATGATAAGATGCATTTTTTTTCTTTCAACATGTACTGATTTGGACCATGTTGAGCTTTAATATATTTGATTGGAGAAAGAGAACTATATTAATGACAGGAAAGTTACAGAAAAGAGAACAAATAATTTAGTGTGTATGCTTATGAGGGATAAACCCTAAAATTAGAGTGTGTTTCACTGATGTGTTACCATTGTCTGCATGCAGAAGATTCATCAAGAGTTATTTCTGTGTTTCTATCATTGAGGCTCAGTGCTTAGACCAGTTGAAATGATTATCAGTGTTGCTTTCTATAAGAGGAAATTAGAGCCACTACCTTTCTCATAGGTTTCAGAGCTTCAACCACATCATATCAGTGGCTTCCACACTGGGATGTGAGGCAAGAAGATGCATTATTTCTAGCAAAGCTGCATATCCCAATTCCAGAAGAACTGCTGACACCCCAAGTCCTTGTGTTTCACTGTTCCACAAGTTACTAACTACAGTCAGTAGTAAAAGGAAAACACCCATTTCCGCCTTTCTTCTTATGTTCTCTGTGCATCAGGAAGACTAGATCTGAGACTCAAGGGCGGAGTTGGAATTTTGCCTTGCCATGAGATAGAAGCATGTCTTAGACTTCTCTTGCCTCAACTGTGAAATAAATTCCATGAATACTATAAGGCTTTGCATTGAGAGGTGCATAATCAGGGCTGAATAAATAGTAGTTATCCCTTTAACATATGCTAGCAACAGATCATGTTATCTGTTACTATAACTGCCACTGTGTAATCTCATCAAGATGCATATCTTGGCTACATACATTGTGTCTTTTTAATCTGTCTGTATCTAGTGCCAGGTACATGGTAAGTGCTCAGGGAATGTGTTTCTGACTTAGGAATGCAAGACACATATAGGTCTAGGAAAGGTCCTGGGGGCTCACAGCAATTAGCCAGCTTGGTAATTAATAACTAATCTAATTCAGCCATGCCATCTATTCTCTCCAAAGAAAAATGCTTATCTGCTTCAAGAATTGCTTCACCCCAGAGAAAAAACAGGCAAACATAGTAAATAAAGAAGCTGAGGGGTGTCTGTGTTTATCTAGAAGAAAAGTATAAATTATTTGTGTTATAATTTTATCTGCGTGTTTTTGTGTAGCCAAACTTGTGGTCTCCTTGTAACATCACCCAGTATCATAACCACAAGCCAACTTGGTCATTGATCTCTCAAAGTGTGTCTGATAGGAATCAAAATGTCTTTCAAGTGTGAGATCCATACCAGATTTCAAAGACTACAGTAAGGAAAATAATGTAAAAGTTCTCATTAGTATTATCTCCTCAAATGGCAATATATTTGGCATAGTGGGTTAAATATAATGTATTAAGTTATTTTTACTTGTTTCTGTTTAATTTTTCTTACCATGACTTCTAGAAAATTAAGGATTGCATCTGTCATTCTTATTTCTATTTTTATTGATAGTGCAGCTCTGGACATAGCATGAATGCAATGCTCTGAGACCCTTGGGGGAAGATCTTTGAGGACACATTATCTCTTGCATGAAAGCATGATGAGGTTCACCTAGAGCATCCTAGCTCCATGCCTGTTCCTCCAGCATACCTGTGAATAGTGCAGAGGCACCCTTCCGAGGATAACAGTTGACCAGTTTCCTATGGGTACCCATACAGTGCTTTCATTTTCTCTCTGAGATAAGAGAGGCAGTGTTTCAAGAGAGTCAGGGAAGCATGAGGGCCTCAGCACTGACCCAGAGCACACTGCAGGGGCCCCTGTGTGTCATAGACAAGACCAGCTAAGCTAGCTTGGACTCGGAGACCAGACTCTTTTCCATCTTTCCAGCTTATAGTTCTACTGGATGCCTCCTCTCTAGCTTCAGCTGCATTGCCCTTGCCTCCTACAACTTGATAAGTGTTGATGAAGATGAGGAGTGTGTGATAATGTAGTCTTGTAGCAACCTATGTGAAAAACAATCACTAAAAAAGCCACATTCAATTGCATTTCAGTCCAGTATCCAAGGGGGAGAAAAAACAATCAAAATTTCCATCTCCTCAATAGAGTGCTCACATGTAAGTAATTCACAGATGGCAGGACCCCAAGCGGCTTATGTTCAATCATTCCCAAGAAATGAAACTTACTTATAACCCACAGCATAAGAATCTGAAGAATGAATATTTGACACATGTGATTATGTTGAAATATTCCCTCTAAAACCACAGTTGATGAGTGTTATTTTTAGTTGCACTTCATTAGGCTCACTATGGAGGAGAGAGATTTCACTGATGCCCAGAAATACATGTTTTCAAAAAGTTAGAAATGCTGCAGTTGTTTTTTGGCTGATTAATTTATTACAGGTTGAATATTTATGATATATACTCTTGAGACATGTTGGAGTTTTAAAGTGGTCATAAATTAGAAAAAATCAAATTCTTTGCAAAGCTTCAAATTCTGTGTATTTTGAAAAGCCACCAAATTTCAGTATTTCTTAAGGTACCACCAGATAAACAGCCTGGAAATTTGTTTCCTTTCTTCCTCTTTTTGTACTAGAATAGTACAGTTATTAATGTGCAAATAGCAGCAGATATTTATCTTTGAAGACACTACAGAATCCAATTCTACTGACTGCTTTTGAATTAAAGAAAGAGGATCCTGGGGACAGGATACTTTAGTGAGAGTCTGCTTGTGGGAAATCTTACCTTCCTTTCCTTGATTGTAACCTGGTGTTCCTAGCTTAAAGGCATGCAATAAAACCAGGTCCTTGGAATTGATGTCCCAAATTTGTGGATGGAGGGAAGCTCTAAAACAGATGTGATTTTTTTCTTAATATCCGGTTCACAACTATGGTTGTTTTGTATTTTAATGACTGTTTATAGTTTTGAATTTACTCCTTAAGGCAAATTGACCCTGCAGGGAGAGTAAATTAAAAAGGATTCTTGAAAATTGTAGTGGTGTGGTTTTCTCAGATAGTAAAGGACCTTGCTTTAAAACTGTTACTTGTTTTATACTACCAAAATTAAGAAAATATTGGTCTTCTAGAAGCCAATGTCTATAATATATAAATATACACATTTTTATTTCAAAACATAAACAGGAAGGTTTCATGAATGTTAAGTTAGAAGTGCACAGAGGTTTTAAAGAGTGACAATTATGAAATTGTGTGCCAGGGCATGGGGTGAGTTTGGTGTGTGGTTTATGTGTATATGAGATACAGAGAGAGAGGAGAGAGAGACAGCTTCACTAAAGAGACTGTCACTCTTCACATGCAAAAAGAAGAACACGGGATCAAAATTACAACCTGTGTTCTGAAGTTAGATTAAACAATATAGGAAATCACCAATTCTTAGAGTATGGAGAAAGATGGAAAATTATCACCCAACTCTGAAGCTTTCTGTTTAATTATTATGGTTATTTCATCAGGTTACCATCTTTCTTCTCTAACATAATATATAATTTCAAGAGTTTAAAATGAATAAATATTTTGTCTTCATTTCTACACTAAAAAGCCAAAAAATATCTGTCTATTCAGTAGCAGTACAATCGTTAGCAACGCTATGTTTAGAATAAAGGACACAGACTTGTCATGGAAAGATCCCAAGAGCAAGCATTTCCAGTATATTCTGCTGGGGCGGGAAGGGGAAATGTAATGTTCTTTGGATATTTGGGCATCTGATCAGGAGAGACAGTGACAGGGAGCCTCTAGTGAGTGAGTGTATTTCCAGTGGGGAACAGCAACCTCTTCATGTATTGCATAAAACAGGATGGAGGCTGATGT